GCCTCGGAGGCAGCGCGCGGGCCGCCATGGGCATTCAGGGTATGGAGCTGTGCGCCATGGCCGTGGTGGTGCTGCTGTTCATCGCGGTGCTCAAGCAGTTCGGTATCCTGGAGCCCATGTCCATGGAAGGTAACGCGTGGCCCCGCCCCCGCTGCCCTCCGCCCGGGTGGCGCTCTGCGGGGACCCGGCGGGCAAGGAGCCTCCCTCAGCCCGGCACGCCTAGCTCCGCCGCCGGGCCGCCTCTGGGTTTCGGAGCTCTGGGACCAAGGGAACAGAGGGTCCTCGGGCTCCTGGAGGGGACAAAACGGCGGCGCTTGGGGTGGGTGTGAGCGAGATGCGGTGAGGCACCTTGAGCTGCATCCTTGGCTGTCCCAGGCCCGCCAGTCCGAGCCGCTGCGGACAGCACAGCCGTCTTGGATCCCCCCCGAAGGCTGGAGGTAGCTCAGGGTGAAGTTGAAAGGAAACCCTCCGCCCAGGGCCCTGGATAGCGAGTAATACAAAGCCTCTGCGGTGTGTCGGGGCGTCCCTTTTGCCCCATCCCATATCCAGTTCTCCCTCCCCAGGCTCAGGGCTGCGGGATCAGTAATCAAATCCTCAGGCGCCGCTTTTCTGTCCCAATAAAACACTGAGGAGACAGACCTACTCTAAATCAGACACTGTGGTCTCCCAGGACCCCTGGCAGGCACCTTTGGACTTGCTTCCCAGCCCCTGGCACCTCCCTAGACTTCTGGGTAGGTTGCACGGCACATCCATTCTGAAGGGGACCTTGACTCACCAGGGCTATCACCTGTCCTCCCCCAGTTCCAAAGAGGCAGTTGCAGTCTTGAACCCTTGGACCGTGGGGAAGGGGCCAGCCTGCCCTGCTCGTGTCGCCTGTGCTCCCCGATTGTCCTCTTAGAGGAGGAGGGGTATCTACCTGCCCCAGCACCCTGCTGACCTTGCCATGCTCCAGCTCCTTCCCCAGGGACGGCTTGGCCCTACTTCTTGCAGATGGAGATGCACCCCACCCCCTGTGAAGAACTGCTGAGGGCATGAAGGAGCACAGGGCCAGAAAGCCAGGCCCAGCCTCCCTTTTGCCTTTAGAGCCCAGGGCCGGCTCTTTATCTGAAGTTTATGGCCATGTGCTCCTCAGAAACCATGTGGTTCCATCATACCTTTTTTAGGTGTGTTCAGGAGGCCCAGAGAGAAGGGACCTGCTCAAGGTAGTTCTGAGAGGTGACACCTTGAACCTTAGATTTTACTTGGAGAGGAAAGTTCCCCAGCCAGGCCTACACTTGGCGGGACATTGACTCTGGCAGGGGGATCGGTGATGGAGAACTTGGTGGGAAAGGAATGGGTGATGGGAGACTGAGCCTCCCATTCTTCTGTGCCCCTGAGGGCCCTGCCTCCTGCCGGGCACCATCCTGGACTCTTGCGGTAGGCCCCTCCTGGAGCCTGTGGTAGGCATGGAGGTCTCCCTCCCTCCACAGGACAGTCCAAGTCAGTTGTGCTCACCAGAGGCTGCTTGGCCAGCTGGCCCTAGGACAGCCAGGGATGTGGCTCAAGGTGCCACCCAGCTTTTCTCTCATCGTCTGAGTCAGTCTGAAGTCGGCTTCTGTGCTTCCTAGGAGAGGGTATCTGCAGATGCCCTACTCAACCCACTGAAATGCTCACTTCAGGCTCTAATTAGTTTGCCTTTTCTGGTACGTTGCCACTTGTGCCCCTGGTGTCCTGGGGTCTGGATGTGCTGGGAGGAGCACAGTGCCCCAGAGTCATCCAGCTCTGAGCTGGAGTCCTGGAACCCTCATGTACTGGCTGTGAAACTCCCTCAAGCTTTCTGAGTGACCCTTTACAAAGTGTGACCCTCTACAAAGTGGGATAACACCTGCCTCATGGGGTGGTCACTTATCAGCAGGGTTTCCATGCCCCAGCATTCCTCTTCATGTGTAATAAACACATGAGCTTGTCAACCGAACGTCATTAATAATCAGCAATAGAATGATAAGTCGGGCGAACAGAACTGATTCAGGGCTGCAAATTCGCTCTCACTGCGTCAGAGGGAGGGAACACAGTTCCGGATGTCCTCTGTTGATGGGGCCCGGTAGTGCCTGGAAGGGCCCACTGGCCAGGCAATGACTAAGGGACTGTGGGATGGGCCACGAGGAGCCCAGCCCTCCGGCCCAAGCTAGATACAAGCTGGCACCTGGCACCGAGGGAAGGAGCCGGTGCCCAGGTCCCCCCCAAGCCTGAGCGCTTGCAGTGGGATGTGCCTCTTGTCCTCTCTGAGCCTCCGTAGTTCTCTTCTGAAAGAGACCAGAGTTATGAGGCCCTGGGGATTGTTAGGGACTAATGGATCCCGGTGGTAGGGATGCAGCCTTCTAGAAATAGATGCAGGAGTGGAAAGGCCCTCATCTCTCTGCCTGGGTCCCCTGTCAGTCTATCTCTGGTGACTTCGTCAGGGGGACTTCCAGCCTGATGTGGCCGCTAGCTTACTGAGTGACTTTGGTGCATCTTAATTTTCTCATCTGTGGAATGAGGATGATAATAGACTATTTTCCACCATGTACTTGACAAGGTGGGGGCAGAGGGTTGGTAAACTAGGCACTTTGCAAAAGTTAGAAGTGGCACTTAGTTCTAAGGGATTCCCAGGGTGAGGTGGTAGGAAGTGAGCCTGGGCTGGCCAGCCTTGTTCTCGAGGCCGACAAGGCCTAACACCAGACCTCTGTGTCCACATATGTGCCCCAAGGCTTGATTCTGGCTGCTGGTTTTCTGAGTCTGGCTTCCCTAAGTTCTAGAGTAGTAGCTGTCAGCTGAGGGCAGCTTGTTCCTCAGTAGACATTTGGTAATCCCTGAAGACATTTTTGATTGTCATAGTTGAGAGGAAGGTGCTACCGGCAGCCAGAGGGTGGAGGCCGGGGGCACTGCTAAACACCCTGCTGTGTGCAGGAAGTCTGCCCCCCCCAAAGAATTATCAGGCCCAGATGTTGGTAGTAACCTTAGAAGCCTCATTCCAGAAGGAGCCCTGGCTAGGGACTGGACAGCTGCCTTTCAGCCCCAACTTGGCCCCTGACACGTTGTCATGCATTTGGCGAGTCACTTTTCCCATCTGAGCTCTGCCCCTTGTCTGTAAGTGAGGAGGCTGGATCAGAGGCACCATCTCCCCGTGAGCTTTCCCTGGCCTCTGGCTCCCTTCATCTCAGGTTGTGTTTGGTGATGCTGTACTGAAATTTTCTGTGTCCCCAAGTCCCGAAGATAGCAGCCCCAGAATGTGCCCAGTGCTGCCTAGCAAACAGCAGGTGTTGAGTAAGCATAAGTTGCATGCCACTGTCAGCACCCACTTATTATACACCCATTGTATGCCAGGCGTGTGATGCTGCAGGAACACAAGTAACATGGGATCTTGGCCCTCCTTTTAGGGCAGTCCTGGGCAGGTGCCCTCTGAGGGGAGGGTCCCTGTGGCTGGGGTGGGGGAAGGAGGCTGGATTGTGAGGCCGGGGTACAGGCAGCTGAGGGGGGGCAGATATGAAGGAGAGAATAGGGGTGCCTAGAACAGGGATGTGCTCAGCCTGGCCCAGCACTTCCTCCCTCTGGGACACGACCCCAACCCTCTAGAGCTGCCCTATACGTAAGATGCCCATGGGGCCTGGCCTTGCAAAGGTAACCTGGGTGCCGGGAGGGTCGCCTTTATCCTACTGCTCCCTGTCTTGCTCCCCTCTCCCAGCACCCTCTCCTACCTTTGCCGGGGCTGGCAAAGCTGTGAGTATCCCGGGTGCTCTTTTCCTAGCAGGGGCCGCTGTTGTCATGCACTGCAAGCCTGGCAGGACTCCTGTGGCCCCTGGGCAGGTTTCCAGATCTGGAGTGCTGATGACAATGACAGTAGCCAGCATCTAGTGAGCGCTCTGTGTGCACCAGGCACTTTGTACATATCCTAACTTTGTCCTCAACAGTGTGCCCATTTTATAGATGAGGAATCCGAGGCTCAGGGAGAAAAAGTGACTTGGCCAAGGTCACCCAGCCGGAAAGTGGAAAGCCAGGACCTTTCTGAGCTCGGGTGCACCATCCTGGATGTGTCTCTAACGTCACAGGGACAGCCATGCGCATCCCAGTCTCTTAGGCGCAGGTATCAGGAGCCCAAAGTGGAGGCAGCTGCCTAGGTCCAAATCTCAGGTGAGGAGAATCCTCCTCACAGAGCGCCAAAAGGACTAAATGTGTGAATATGTGCAAAGCTGAGGAAGCAGTGCCCGGCACAGAGGGGCACTTTGTATGTGTTAGCTCTCACCATTTCTGCCAGAAATGGCCTAGCCCAAAGGACTCCCGGGGTCACACACCACTGACTGCACTACTGGGCAAAGAGGATGCAGTGACAGGCCCTTTATCACGGCGGCTGTCCTTCATTCTGTCCTCTGTAAGTCCCAGGCACCTGAGTTTTGACTGGCCGAGGCTGATGCCTGCCAGTCCAGCTCCCGGAAAGGGAGTGTCCCGACAGTGGCTTCTGCAGGACAGGGAAGTGGGCCGCAGCCCCAGGCCTGGCGTTGCTGGCCAGGTCCCCCACCCCAAGTTCGTGCCTCTACTGTTGCACGTCTGGACATGGTCAGTGGTTGCCAAGGGGCTTAGTCAGGAATCTCACAGGAAGTCTTACTTGGCAGCCCAGGACCCCTACAGATAGAAGGCCCTGCTGGGTCATAAGGGAGTCTAACCCCAGAGGCCTCCCCTGACCCTCCCAAGGTCTAAGAGTTGCCTGACCAGCAGAGACTAGGTTAGGGCTGAACCCGCCAGCTGGGTTCAAGAAGAATTGGAGCCAACGAGTGTAGACAGCAATTTGGAGTCTTCCCACAGACAGAGCAAAGGCGGGTGTGGGTGGTAGGGGAGCAGCCTGCAGGGGAGCCTCGCAGAGGCATTGGGGGCAGCCCAGGGGCTTCACGGGCTCCTGCAAAGACATCAGCCAAAAGTGCCCATCACCCCAGACTGGAACACCTTAACTCAGCGAAGTAAAGGTTTGGAGCCACCTCTCTGCAGGTGGGTCTTGCACAGAGGGGCCCGTGGAGTGGGTGGCAGGAACCTAGGCCGGGCTCTTACTCCTGGGAGGAAGGCCCCATTGTATCTGTCAGGCTGCTGCTCTACTTTGGGACACTCAACTTTAAAACAACATT